AGGCTCCAAAACCAGAGAAACCCTGTCTCGAAAAACCAAAAATAAATAAATAAATTAATTAAATAAAATTAAAAAAAAAGGAAAAGAAAAGAGGATATTCAATAATATTAAATAAATAAATTAAAAAAAAAGAAATACAGTCTATGCTAGTCCATTAGCGAACCCTGTATTTAGTGGCTACTGCTCACGCTCTGGCTGCAGGCATGAGACTGTCTCTTAGAATCCAGGAGATGTCTTTAGACAGTAGATCAGGAACCACTGTTAGATACTATCAGAGTTAGCTCTATTTTTTGATAGAAATTATTTCAATTTTAATAATAACTTCTTTAGACTTGGTGGTCTCATTCACTTATATTTCCAAGTACTGTGACTAGACGGCATTAGATTTGTTTGGTTTTTCAGACAGGGTTTCTGTTTAGCCTGCCTGTCCTGGAACTCGTACACCAGGCTTGGCCTCGAAGTCGCAGAGATCCACCTGCCTTTGTCTCCTGAGTGCTGGGATTAAAGGTGTGCGCCATCAACGCCTAGCTGTCCCACAGATGCCAGGACTTCCCATAGGTATAGGGCCCACCTCACCTGATAGGTTGATCTCTGTCAGAGAGTCTCGGGTGGTAGTGCCAACTGCGGTGAGCAGGTTGATGGAATGGTCAGTGACGTGGTTACAGTAACTGAGGTGGAGCTTGGAGAGCAGGGGCATATGGCGGATAATGAGCCGCAGGGAGGCATCTGTGATGTCCAGGCCAGCGAGGCGCAGTTCTACAATGTTCCGGAGCTTGCTCCGATTGTCCATCTGACCTGTTGGGGCAGATAGGAGAGAGGCAATCCATCAATCTGAACAGGAAATCAAGTTCAAGTTCTGCTACTAATACTCTAAAACAGCAAATGCTGTTACACCACTTGCTGGGTAGGTGTAACCTTTCATTTCATACTCATGACGCGTATCCTAGCCCAAACCAGAATTTCAGCATTAAAAATCAGAACGTGGTTGTAGGATCTGTCTTCAAGCTATGGTTGGCGAAAATATTATTCATTCTAGCTCACTACCCTTGTCTGTGGTTATCCCACCTCATATATGTATCATTTAAGCTTTGGTGTGTGTGTGTGACAGAGAGAGAGAGAGAGACTCAGGCATCTGGCCTAGGAACATATTATTCTTTGGAGTTCTCACTCAACCACCCTAATATTGGTGCCTCAGAAGAGAAGGTTAAAACCACTGAAGATTAAGTTAACAAAGAAACAGACTAGAGACCATATAAGCAGAGGAGAATTTGCCTTTCCTTAAAATCCTCATACCCAAAGCACACAAAGAACTCTAACCTATGTCTTCCAGCAAAGAACAAAGCTGATGATGCATAAACCACATGGAAGGAGGGGGCTGAGAGAGGGTAATGTACTCAAAACCAGAACAGGGTATCTTGGCCACATCATCTCCATGAGACAGACTGCTTAGGGTAGCCTGACAACTACCTGGCCTGTTGTCTGTGGGTGGGGACAGGAGATCCCGCATCTGGGCATCCTTTAGTCCTTCTACCCACTGGACATCCAGGGTCCGGAGCAATGGACAACTGGAGCTACAGAGGGCTGAGACAGCAATCCATGAGCAGCCCGACAGCACCAAGTCCCGGAGCCCTAGGAGATAAGTGGGAATGAGTCAAGTGACACAATCCAGCTATCATTACTGCACATTTGGGATCCTTAACAAAAGCTTACCAGGCAACCGGTTGATGAGCCAACTCAGTTGCTTCTTGGAGATATTGGTCCAGCTGAGGTCAAGGGAGACAGGCTGTCGCCGGATGATGCCACTCAGCATCAGGGGCGTGATGGATTTGCAGTGGTTCAGGTCAATGCGGGTCCACAACCGCTTATCGCAGCACCTGAGAGCCAGGCCAGGCAAGGAACACATCATCATAGTTACTAGCTTACCTGGAGAACCCCTGCTTGGCTATAACTTCCCCATGTGCCATCTCGAGGAGGAAGTTCCTTTAGGATTCAGTCCTCTCCCACCTAATTAGCATCTACCGTAGCCACATGCTTACACAGAAGATGCCAGCAAGTACTCTTCATAAAATATTTCTGGACCTTACTACACCTTCTAATAACTCCTGTGGAGGCACTGGATCCTCTTATGAGGGAGGGTCAGAAATGCAGCTAAAACTGATATGGAAAATATCAAGCCGGAATTAGTACTGGTCACTCATATTCAACTTCAGCTAAATCTAGACAAGGAATTCTATGTGGTCCTTAGTTTTTCATATAAGAAAAGCAAATGGGAGCCGGTGGTGGCGCATGTCTTTAATCCCAGCACTCGGGAGGCAGAGGCAGGCAGATCTCTGTGAGTTCGAGGCCAGCCTGGTCTAGAAGAGCTAGTTCCAGGACAGGAACCAAAAGTTATGGAGAAACCCTGTCTTGAAAAATCCAAAAAAACAAAACCAAAAAAA